TGCCTCCCAGAAAAAGGTCTTCGTGAAACTCAATTTCTCTTTTCCCCTGAGAGGCGCCTCTCCCTCCGGGACATAATAATCTGTCAAAGGGAAATCCCGTTTCAAGAAGGCTTTTATCGAGTGATTATACGGATATTTTAGTGTCAAGTGAACGAATTCCCACCCTAACCCTGCGGTTCATACAAATTTGTGCTATTCGAGCCCTTTTTCTCCGAGTTGTCAGCTGGTTTCTTTCTTCCGCGAGTGCAGGTCACACCAACCATACTGGACCGGGTGAATATTGCCCCAATATATAAAGATCCCTCTTGCGAGGGTAAGTAGCATATGTCCGACCCGGTATATCTAGCAAAGAGAAAAACAAGTCTTCCATCCTCTCATCCTCCCAGCCTCCTCTGAAATGCTCTCGATTTATTATCAGTGCATTTTTGCCCTCGCTCTCCCATTTGGTGTGTTCAATGTCCAATAGCTTTAGGCTCGCGATTCCCACATGGCTCGTGTAGTTTTTTCTTCTTCAAAACGTCGACAGGAAATCTAAGTTCCCGCCCTTTATATAATTTATCTATCTAGCGACCATCCCGATTCCCCGCTTCGGATACCTTTCTATGATAGCGCGGCCGAGTTGAAGCCGGACACTCGGCATCTCGATTCCCACTTTCATTCGCCAACTTCAACCCGGCTCCACGAGTGCTCCAATTCCATACTTGCCAATCCGAAATAGTGACCCTTATTCACCACTCATCACTCGGACTCTCCACACCTTTAGCGGATACCTCCATGTTTACTTTGAAAACTGGAACGAGGCCTAGGTTTCAAGTTATTTCTGCGAGTATGGGAGATGTGTGAAAATCATGCGCTAATGAATACGGAATTTTTTTGCTTCTGGGGACTAGTTATCTGAAAGGGAACAGGGGGAGTGCAAGGGAATAATGGGTGAAGATAAGCGGCCTTGAAGAGGTGAAGGAATGAGAGGCGAGAGAGAAGCCTTTATTAGCAGCTAAGTTTATATATTCTCGGTAGGGTGACGCTCGGGGACCGCGATTCATATTGGTTTCCTCTATATTCTGGGATTGGCTTCACATATCACTGGGAAGAGAGGGGTAAAGGGGAGAACTTTGGACGTAATTTCACCTCTCGACAAAGTCGCCAGTGCCGTGTGGCAACTGAGGATCAGGAAACAGGTATCGTGACTGCGTGTTTCATTACAGCTATGCTATAGGTCCGAACTCTATACAGTATAGACTGGCATGAATATGTGCAACGTACTGGTTACTTTTGGCGGACATGAATCTGCGGGTTCAGGGGATACGGCATTGAATCCATTGATAATAAACTTGCGATGCTAGGGTAGTGCAATATTAATGACTAAAAGCTTGCATTCAAGCTTCCGTTAAAATGAAATCACAGGAAATACCCTTTAGCACATGTGGCAGATATCCTTATGGTTTTATTGCACGGAGCATGAAATAAATGTCGCTATGATTCCATCTAAGAAGGGGATACCCCACGCAGCAGATATCATAACATCAGTAATGGAGTATGACCATGTTTTAGTGGGTTAACCGCCCCCGCGCTACTCGAGGGTGACAAACGAAATCTGAACCTCCAGACATCTTCTGAGAGGCTGGGTGGGGGCATCCTTAAGATGGCATGGTTCGATATCTGGTATATCTAGTATATCTGACAACTTAATCCTTCGCCCCCACTGAAAGCCAAATTTAATGGCCCGGCGCCGCTCCTTAGGATTGCCGACGTGGGGTGGCGAGGGATCCCCACATATTCAAGGGGTTTTATGTGGCTGGGGGTGGGGAGAGCTATTACGGTATGTTGCTCTACCGATATTGCGTTTCCCTCCTTAGGAGCTTTCCGAGAGTCTCGACCCTTCCAAAAACCTGCTATATGAATCATCCATTTGTGGCTGGGGATTAGCCGAGTGAGAAGACCGGGGGTGAGAGATCCCCTGTGTGATGTGCTAGTGTGTGGACACCTAACCAGGCCCAAGACAGTGAACCAAAGACCCGGTAACGCCCTCTTTATAATCCAGCAAAGAGGCCGGTACAAGGAAGATATCTTCAGATATGATGTGTATGCGAAAATCACACACTATCACTCGAACAGCGCTTTCCCCGTCACACGACATTAGGCTTACATACAGTATACTGTTTTTTTTTTTCAGGATACGATGCAGGTGCCGCGGCTCGGTTGCGGCACCTGCGCATCCAAAATAACATGAAGGGTTACAAAGGTACCGATTCGTACATGTATTGGATGACTGGAAATCTCAGTAACCCAGCCGGAATGTTCAGTGGCTGTAGGGAGATACGAGTACCTTGGGAGGCCAGGGTTCCCAAATGTTTGACTGCGGGCTAGAATGCAGATGTGTGTGTACTGTACATTGTATTTCGGCAATATCTGTGAGCCTGGCTTTTTTTTTTTCGGCTAAAGCTCAGGGAGTCAAGCCAAAGAGGAAGAACGAGAAAAAAAACGAGGATTTTTATAGGGAAAGAAACAGGAAAATTGCCTAAGTAAATGAATACACAACAGGTTCTTCTGGGGCACAAAGCTAATAAAGGCAACTTGTTTAACTCAGGCTGTATTCCACATTCTCAAGAAAGGGAATTCCTGCCCAAATTCTAGCTTAGACTGGCCGGCCTTTTGATCGCGGGGTTGGTAGTAGTGGCATAGAGTGTTGAGCCCAGGGTTTCTATAGGACCTCAGAATTGCTACCCAACTCCCATATTCTGGGTCTGGGCATAGCAGGGCGGTAGATAGGAACTGGTTTAGGTCTCCTCGCCCCCCGGGCCAAGTCTGAAAGTATTGGGACCAGAGGCAACGGGTTCCCTGAGGCTGTAATCTGCAGGGGGAGGTCAGCTTAGGCTGCAGAAGAGCACTGATGAGAGATCTGGAGCTCATTAAAAGAGCGCGCACAGGCTGAAGATCCCATACGCTTGTATTCCATATCCTGTTATATAGCACACCAAATGGTCCCTGATCTATCTTCCGCCCAGGCCGAGGAAGTACGGGGTCCTTGCATTTCGAGTTATAGTTTGTTCTTAGGCATGCGTGCTAGAGGCCCCTAATCTTTCTTCTGCCTTAGGGGTGGAGGCATATCAAAGAGTCCTCGATCCATCTTCTGCGCCGGCCGAGAAAGCTCGCAGCCCTACCATCCCGAACCCGAACGATGCTCGGGCACGCGAGGTGAAAGCGGACCTTCTCCCTCCCCGCGAGCATAGGTAGATCAAATGACTATGGACATATCTTCTGCTATGGCAGCCGTAGCCTATAGTATCCTTCTGAATCGTACATATACCTTAGTATGTAGGGCGGAGTCGGAGGTCCTTGGTAAGGGACGGGGGTGGAGGCGGGGGTCGGGAAGGACACGGAGGTTCCCGGTCTTTCTGCCGAGTAATAGGTGGAGGCGGGGATCCTCGGTATTCCTGCTGCGTAAGGGATGGAGGTGGGGGAGGTGGAGGTGGGGGAGGTGGCCGAGATGGAGGCGGAGGTCCATGGCCTTTCTGTTGCATAAGAGACGCGGGCGGAGGTGGTGGCCTGTGCGGAAGCGGGGGCCCTTGGCCTTTCTGCTGCATAAGGGGAGGAGGCGGGGGCGGTGGCCGAGACGGAGGAGGGGGTCCATGGTCGCTCTGTTGCATTGCGGTCTGACCTATATCGAAAGATTTGGTATTTGTCTCCCTTTCCAGCCATGGAGGTTGGTACTCCTCCGATTCTGAAATATAGTCTTTTTGCGGAATCGAAGGGAGAGACCCATTATCTTTCTGATGCGTTGTGGGGAATCCATAGGGCCCTAGACCCCCATCCACCATTACAACTTGGGACCTGGGATCCTTGTTTTGTCTTGGGAGTAGAATTCTACCATAAAGTCTAAGGTTTCTCTCGGGAGTGGGCAGCGGGGCCCGAGGCTCAGCGTGGGGTTCCTGAATTTTCTTCCCTACTTTGGGAATCAACGCTACGGAGCGTTGTCGTCGGCGCTTGCGAGATATCCGTTTTGTCATCCGAACCCTCTGTGTTTCCGACTGTTTATGGACTATTAAAGCTCTTGATTTCAGCTTTCTGAAGGATGGAGGTATGGCTAACAGATCCCCATCAGTGCAGTGGGAGATGCGAGACTCCCAGGGTTCCCCTCTGGCATATACAATTGTCGATTCTGCCTTACGACCCTTAGCAGGTTCAGCCTGATATCTTCCACTTTCAGGAAGTATCGGTTGTTGGTGTTCCCCTGTGGGGTATGCCTCATCCGGGAAAATGTGATCCCGAATGTATGGCTGCTGATTTAAAGCTGTACCCTTCATTCCTTCGATTATAGTTTTGCCCGATATCGGGTCTGCTCCTTTTATCGAGATATTACCATCGGTCGATGCCTGTGTGAGTTTTTCGGAGTCGTGTTCCGCCTCCGGCAATTGAGGCCCAGAGGGTGTTAACTCTTTCCCGACTATTGCTGTGGCCGGGTCGGGCCACTCGGAGGCTGTGTTTGGTAGTTTAAATCCCCGATGGTCCTTTGTGGGTTCCGGAAGATCCAATTCGGGTTGCACGAAGAGAGGTTTCTGTAGAGCTGTGCCAGCGCCGCATTCCGTGCTATCGGTGTCTTCACCATTCACTAATATTTCTACTGCCTCCCTGAAGTCGTCCCCGCAGTCTGAGTCTTCATCCTCCATTTCGCTCTTGAGGTCTGATATCCATTTATCGCCCAGTGATTCCTGTACGCTGGGGCGATCCTCCGGCTGCAGCGAGACCATGGATTTGATCAATGAGATGCCAGAATCGCTTGTTGGTGGGAGCAAGCTTCTCAAGGCATCCTCTGGGAATGGGGAGAGCTCGAAGAAGTACCGTGCTATCATCATTTCCGTGGGAAACAACTTTACTCCTGCAAGCAACTCATATATCACACATCCGAGTGACCAAATGTCAACATCATTCGTGTAATCAGAGGTCTCGCTATTGGAGTCCAGCCCTAGAACCTCGGGAGCGCTGTAGAATCGCGTTGACACTTGAGTATGGAGAGTTGTAGGGTCTTTGTCCCGGACCCGTTTTGCTATTCCGAAATCCCCGATTTTAACCCAGACAGGGGACATGGTAACGACAAAAATGTTCTATCATAAACGTTCGTTAGTCCTGTTTTTGCGGTTGGGGTCGGGCTCTTCGAGTGCCCCGTGACTTATATATACCAACCTCAGGCTTCAGATCTCGATGAGTAATTCCTTTTTTGTGCATAATGCTCAAACCCTCGAGTAGTTGCTTTGTGATCGTCTGAACTGTCTCCTGTGGTAGAGGCTCGCCGATATGTTTGCCGAGGTCGCCCTTCTCTAGATATTCCATTGCGATGTAAAGATTTTGCGATTGCTCAAACCATCCATGGAACTGCACGAACAATGATGGATGCTACGGGGATGGGCAACACTAATTAGAACTCTGCGAAAATCTAGTGGGGGGCGGAGACGAGATCGGAGACCCCCAGGGCTAAGGAAACAAACTTTCGCCAATAAAGCCATCACAAGAAGCTCTCTTGAATAGTCAAGCTGGGTAGGCATCCTGCTTTTGTCGATCGTCTTCACCGCACGGCATAGGCCACTGCTCTTCTCATGTTGCTTGTGGACGACACTGAAGCCTCCACGGCCGAGAAAGCCAGATTGAACCCAGTCCTCCCTAGTCCTCAATCCCCTCTTCCTGGAATTTTCGAGTTGTTTTGTGTGTCTAACGCAGTCCGAGAAAAATACTGTTTCCAACCTATACCACTCAACCAGGTCTGGTTGATCATTATTCAAATCCATATAGAGGGCCTTTTCTCAAGCAAGAAGCTTTCTATAAAAGCAGTAGCAGTAGCAGTAGTGGTAGGGTAGATAATAGCACTGTACCCAAACCAGTAGGGAAATAATAAGCTTTAAAGGGGACCAGGGCAGTCTGGTAGGATGGGCCCGCTGATAAATGGGAACCCTCTTGACAATGCCCATCTTCCCCTACCGGTATCCCCACTTGACGCTGAATATGCGGTGAGAGCACTCTCGTACATGGGCTTCCTCCGGGCCATCTGATTGGTTTCAATATGCTCGTCCCAGGCAAGCCCTGTACCCCAAGGCTGGGTAAATGTGCGGACATAGCCTACCGGTAGAGTACCCGGAATGGAAGAAGCTCAGAGAAAAAGAAAAAAAAAGGAGCCCTAACATAGGGGGGTAAACGCCACTTTGGCGTGCTAGAAGTAGTACAAGAACTTGTACGAGTACTAGTACAGTATGTGAGAAGTTTCACCCGGGTTTCCCCTTCATTGCTGTCTTGCCTCACCAAAATATCTCTGGAATATCCCTAAGCTATACTTGACCTGCCTTCCCTCCTATATGTCCGGGCACTTGTGCTTCTTGCCCGGCACTTGTGCTAATACAAGCCTCAGTAATAAGATCGTGGTATCATACAAGTTCAAGTGCGGAACAGGGGTGCTGATGTGGATTTCAATCAAAATTGGTGATAGGGTACGCGGGAACCGGCCCGACCAAAAACACAAAGCCTTCGATCGCTCATCGAGAGCCCTGAGAGGTTTCTTTTTTTTCCTCTCCCGATAGACTCATTGAAATGGACGGGTCCGTCCATTATATTTTCCGCTCAAAGTTTACCAAGACAAGAGGAAATAGAACTCCCCTTAGGGGGCTGTTTCTCCGGTGTATTAGTACAACTGCTACTGAAATTCTAGTTATGCACCGTGTCATTATTTTATTCCTAACATCCGTATACACGCGTGTAGAACCTGCATTTACTAGTGGTAAATTACCGTGGTGCAAGCGAGACTCACACTTGAACGACCCCCAAGATCTTTGTCTTGGGAGAAAAAGAACATGCGCCACAAGGCAATTTTTATGGCTATTCCCGAAAGTTCGGTGTCCAGACTGTTTCATCCCTGAAAGAAAAAGTCGCTCCAGAGCTGAAGGGTAGCACCGGCAGACGAACGGTGAGTACGGCACTGTAGGGTACGGCAATCAACTTGATAACCTTCTGTTGCAACCAGTATCATACCCAACATAGGAACCCCCTAGTGATGTCTCATAAGCCATAACCACAAATGATATCATATCATACTATTGTTGGACAACCAAAACCTGCCTTCCACCCAAGGTTTTTGGAATATCTGGACATATCTGGACATACTATACCTGTACTGAACTCTTAACACTCGAGAAAAAAAATTTAAAAATGGTCCCTCTGGTAATTTTATAAGGAACCCCTCTTAAAAGCATCTAATCATTACTATTTTCACCTTATAAATCAATACATTCAAAATCAATGACTGGAATCGTGTTACAAGGGCTATTTGACACAGGTAGGCAGCATATTCGACTCTGACAAACCACCACAACAGCTTCCTAGAGGAGCTTAGGTGAAAACAAAAACAATGTATCAATCCTAATTCCTTTTTCAAACAGCTTTACAAGAGAGGTATTTGCAGTATACTATACCTTCTCAAGGAGAGGCTAATTTACGGTTTAGGGATTTTGGATGTAGTTGGCCGCCGGGGAGATTTTAGTTGTCCGGAACCATACTATAAGTAGGGTAATAGTGCCAGGCACCGCAAAGTAAATTCGGGGCGCTTATTAGGCGGATGATCGCTCTCCTCTTTGGGTTAGATCAGTGTATAAACAAGAGATCTGTCGACACCCTACCTCATTTGGTATAGGGCCACTAGGATATTTCTCGATCCAGTTACCGGTATCCGGGGCCTGTAATCATAATTCACAAGCACTCACTCGTACAAAAATAACAAAACTTTAATTGGCCCTAGAATCCGGCGCCACAACACGCGGAAGTTCTCCATGCCCCTTCCCTAGCTCTCTAGCAGAAAACCGTAAGATAAACACTTTTGCAGGATCCATTGAGCTTAAGGGTTGCGCTTGATGTCCCGCGGGGGGTTGAAGTTAGTCAATTTTGGGGTTGGTGGGGGGGGGGTTGATTTGCATTATCTGGAACAGTACTCGAGTACTCTACTCGTGCTGAACTGCACTTGTGCGGCCCGCCAGTAAAAGTCTTCGTGGAAAGAGAGGTAACTGATAGGATCATACCGGGGACAAAGGTACCAGTATGGCCGGACCGCCTACTCGTAGCGAAACTTCCCTCTTCACCGATGCACCCGACCATCCGGCAATACTATAGAACCTCAACTAATTGAACTTTATGCTATGCCGTTCAAGTTCCTTCCATTAGTAAGGCCTAGTATTTTTATTTTATTTTTCTTGTCGTTTATAAGGGCTTTACAACCCATCACTTGCTGAGTTTTGCACCCCTCTCCCGAGGAGGAAAAGGTGGATTACGAGTACGACCGTACTTGTACCTAGTAAGTCAGATGACTCAGCGATCCACGGCTGGCAACTATGCAAGTCCGATACTGTTGTTAGTATCGGTGCTGGGCAGAACAATATATTCGCGATAAGCTCTCAAGAGGCAAGATATAGAAGTATAATGCTCTTTTATTAAATTTTCAAAAGAAAAAGTCTGAGGCGGGCAAAAAAAAATACCCCCTTACTAGCAATAAAGTCATCGCATAAATTTCACTGACAACGTTTGATACGCATAGCTAAAATAACGCCCACATACCCGCAGACCTTCCATCTCCAGTCCGCTAGCATAGAAACACAACTCCTATAGCTAAAATCCAGAAAACTCTCCAAACATAAGCCATAAGTCAAGAAATCCCGACCAATGTCCCAAGGGCCCTTGAAGACAGAGCGAATTTCTTTTTCCCTCGTGAGCACGAATTTGGCATTGTAGATACAGGTGCAATAAGGATGAAATTGTGATTCGTCTCTGTGAAACCTAACTCAAATTTTCCTATAACTTCATAATTCTGCCCTCCCTCTACTCCCCTCGCTGGCAGCGATTCCTCGACCTGCTCTAGGTCTGGTTAATTGCAAGTTTGAGTTCGGCCAGCGATGGAGATCGGTCTCGGAACACCAGTTTCTCCAGCGTTGGGGTTCCATCCAATATTAGGGTTCCCTCCAGCGTTGGGGTTCCACCCAATATTAGGGTTCCCTCCAGCGTTGGGGTTCCACCCAATATTAGGGTTCCCTCGAGCGTTGGGGCCCCACCCAATATTAGGGTTCCCTCCGGCGTTGGGGTTCCACCCAATATTAGGGTTCCCTCCGGCGTTGGGATTCCGCCCAAGATTAGGGTTCCCTCTAGCGCCCTGTTTCCATCCAGCATTGGGATTTCCGCCGGCGTTAGGGTTTAACCCAACATTGGGATTCTGGTTAGGACTCGAGCCAACGGTAGGATTCTGTCCGGTATTAGGGTTGTTAGGATTTCTCGTTCGATTGATGGTTGTGCCACCCCGGCCCCCATTGCCCCCCCCCATCACGGACATTAGGCGTGGGATTCTGCGAGACTTCGTCCTCTGAACTTTCCGAATCGTCTGACCTGAACCTGCTCTTCTGGATAGGGTAGGTTCGCCGGTGCGCAATTCCCCTCGCAGGTGCGTCGGGGGAGGGGGTGGCAGCGTTGTGCGCCGTGGTGCGTTCTGCTGGGTTATTTTCCCCCGGGGCTGATTGAGGACTATTTCCGGGGTGAGGGTCCGGCGTCGGGGGATCGCTTGTAGGAGGTCTAGTATTTGGCGGCCAGTTCTCGTTAGCAACACTTTCTATATCTAGGCTAGGTTTAGTTTTCGGGGTGCTACCTTAGGAAAATATTTCCGGAATATTGCGAATCCGTTTTTCCTTCTGCGCCCTGGGGTCCTTGGAATGAGTCGCCTGGTAGTTGGGAGGCATCCGCTGCCAATTCCGATTCCAGAGACGCCGGATTCGTTCCTAAAACTACGTCTCCCGGGATGTAACTTGTGTCGTCATGGGTCACGTGATTTCTTTCGCTTCTTTTTTTAGGCTTGCCGTGAATAGCTTGCTTATTTTCCCGCTTCTTACTCCGGGTACTTTGATCACGATTTTGTGTTGTTTCGTCTCTTTCGTCCCCGCTATCCTCATCGTCACTCTTAAGGCCCACCAACCACTCATGTCCCAGTGCACCTGCTGCGGTTGGGCGATCCTCGGGTTGTATTGCGAGCATGGACTTTAGTAGGGAAATTCCGACATCGTCTGTTGGGGGAGATAGCCTTTTGAGGTCATCTTCGGGAAAGGGCCATTTACCGAAGAAGTAACGGGACACTCGACCCTCGGTGAATAATTTTGTCCCTACAAGCAACTCGTATATGACACATCCGAGCGACCAAATGTCAACGGAATTGGTATAGTCCGAGGTTTCGCTATTAGAGTCCAACCCTAGAACCTCGGGGGCGCTGTAGGCTTGAGTCATCACTTGAGTGTGAAAGGTTGTGGTAGATTGAGCCTGAATCCGTTTTGATATCCCGAAATCCCCGAGTTTGACCCAGACGGGAGACATAGAAACTACAAAAATATTCTATGCATTTGTCAGTAATTTGCCAAGCGAGATGTTTGGTGGTAAGGACTATACCGCAGGCTTTAGATCCCGATGAGCTATCCCCTGTTGATGCATTACGTTGAGGCCCTCGAGTATCTGCTTCGAAATATTTTGAACGGTCTCCTGTGGCAGTGGTGTACCGATATGCTTGGTGAGATCGCCTTCCTCGAGATATTCCATGGCAATATATAGCATCTCGGGTTCCTCGAACCAGCCCAGGAACTCGACAAATAATGACGGACGCTAAAAACAACTAACCATTAGAACACGACAAGAAATTCCCGCAAGGGTGAACGCGAACCTTTGCTAATATGGCCATCACAAGGAGCTCCCTAGAATAATCGAGATCGCGAGGTAGCCTCCTCTTGTCAATCGTCTTTACAGCACGAAAGTGGCCGGTATTTTTCTGAATCTGCTTGTGGACGACACCGAAACCTCCCTCTCCGAGTTCCTCACAATTGCTCCAATCTTCCCTCACTTTCCTGTTCCTATTTTTTGCCTTCTCCACATATCTTGTGTGTCTGACATGATCCTGAAAGAACTCCGTCTCCATTCTATACCACACAACCAAATCGGATTGAGTCTTGTCCATGTCTCAAATTTGAGGTTCCTCGGGTCCCGGTATCACTCTGAAGCGGTTGAAAAAGCGCAAATGTAGGGCCTGGGTGGCGATGGCTAGTGAGAAGACGACAACGAAGATTTGTTCAACAAGCGAAGGGTGGCAAATGTAGAAGAAAAGACGCCAACTTATCTATCTCGTTGCAAAAAGCTCTCCGACAGCACCGATATTTATACAGGGCCGCTTTGATCTATTTATTGCCGATACTGTAGTTGGGTGGACGGAGTTGCACCATGTGGCGCGCCAGAGTGAGTCGCGTAGAGAAAACCACAGGATCCTTACAAATACAGGTATTCGCCGAGAAAAAAAACGACGTCTCCGAGAGTGGTGGCAACGCAGAAATTACGCTCCCCTACGAGTAGCAGCCCAGACGACAGGAAGATCACCGGCACGCTAATAGTGAGGGCCGATAAATCAGATGTCCCAGGAAATGAGTGCTTCCAGTGTCGTGGAGAAGCAATGAGAACTGATCTCAGCTCCTATATCATACGCAAGGTAGGTTGAGGGTTATTTGCGAGTATGATAGTCTGCTCGAGCACCAGTACGAATAGTTGCCTCAGCCGATCGAAAGGTGAAAGTGGGGGAGTTTGCGTAGCGGTCGTATTCACAAAAGGCCTTGCGATTATCATACGAGGATAGTCTGTAGAGATGTCCTGTACTGTACTGTACCACACGCACAGCATATCTTATCCCAAACTCGGCCAACCTGGGCTAGCGGTGTACTGTGCATTGGGGGGCTCCCCGTAACGCTATCGTAATCACCGAATACCGGTATTTAGGGCTTGTTCGGTTGCAACTCATATTTGAAATGGCATTCTTAGTGAGAAGTAGAAAATCACGTTTTCCGAGGAATTACCAGAAGTCAGATTTTTGTATTCTCAGGTGTTCGGCAAGAGCAGGTTTTTTTTCTAACCCTTTTCTCTCATTGTGGTTCTTCATGATCTGAGAGGTGCATGGTTAGAGGAGGGTTCAAAAATTCTGCTTGGACCTTTAAAACTCCACATCTCGTTGCAACCGAACAGGCCCTAAGTTACTCAAGTCGCCGGATGAATGTTACTCCCACTTCAGCGGTGACCAACCAAAAAACACGCGACTTCAATCCGGCGACACGAGTAAATTATAAATATTCTAAAACCCGAACCACCCCTTCCCCGTGCTAGGTTCAGAAATCCGGAAACCTGCTTATCATAGCCTACCGTTGGTCGACCTGCCGCAAGGTCACAATTCTCACCTTAGGCATTATTTCTCAATAGACAAAATGGAGGACTGGCTAGCTGCCGGGGGGTGCAATCCTATGAGGGACCGTTTCTTGATTGTAGCTATTAAGTTTCATAGTTGTAATTCCATTTCACTATAATGATCATAATCCACAAGTAGCCATCTATCATGGAAAACCGCCTTCCTCTATCGGAATAATCCATGATCTAGTTTTTGGTTTTTCCAACTCCCTGCTGGAAGATCTCCATTGTCAAAATCACCCAACAGCAGTGCATATGTATCCCGCCTACTCGAGTATCGGGACGGACGAATCGTTGACGGCCACTTCCCGATCGTTGTCATGCGATACGCCTCACACCACAAGTGGAATGCGGCATCGTCGGAAATTGAAAAATTGAACCTCACCCTAAGTCGTCCAAAATTCCCTCCCCGGCGGGCGGGATCGCCGCGAAAACTGGCTCACTTGCTCAAAAAAAAGAAATGAAAAGTCCCGCACCTTACCAGCAGCATTGCACCTCGGTTCCTTGGCACGGGTGGCGCGAACCCGACTGCCCGAGCACGATAATCAATTACTCCAAATTCTCAAGATTATTTTCCTGAATTATTGCTGTTGTTCGGTTCTGGGTACGGGGAGTATCTTATGGTTGATATGATTCTGCATCTCTTTGAGCATCATGATTGGGGGGTTGAACGATCTCAATGCCAACAACCCGCAACTGTATCTTCCAACCGCGAAATTAATCAATTCAAGTCGCTAGCCAAAGGATACTTTCCTGGCTACAGCAAGGGCTAGTCCGAGGAAACAAAGGCCAAAAATCTCTCTTTCTGTGAGGAACGTATACCGTGTGCAGATTATTATATTGGGAACTCCGAACCTCCCTACCCCAATCTCCCGCATCTCAACTCGTGCTTTTAACGTGTGTTGTAAAAGACATTAAGGGCTTTTTGATAAGACCTTTAGGACCTATTCGGGAGAGAGATGTAGTCTAACTAGGGTCGAGGATGGAAACCTGTGGTTTAAACTAATCTTGTGTAGTTTTGATAATAGTTTAGGTGTTTAGGGTTACGCCAGACAGTGTTAGAAAACCCGAGGATTACGAAAATGTGACAAAAACTGAGGTAAATTCTGAGTCCAACCCCTCAGCTTGTGGTTCATCCATTGGTCTGCCAAGATTACCTAACGGAACAGCGTTAAGTGCAGCTATCTCCTCGGCCGCTAAGGCAAGCTAGTATGACAACCCTCGCAGTACGGTACACTAAAGAACTAACACCTGGAGCGCAGGCATGAGGTGTCGCAGGAGCGCCGGCGGGTTGGGGGCGTGGGCGGGATGCGTACGTGGAACCCCGGAGAGGGCGAACTGATATCAGGATGTGAGAATCCACAGTGTCCCCCTAGGATTCCTATTACATACCTAGTTAGCTAGCCACCTTATATAGACACGACAACAGGCTTCTCTACATCTCCGAACTGGCCGCACAACTGAGAAAGGCCACCACCGCCGTCATGACATTCCAGCTCTGTGTAAGATGTTGAGCGGTGGCCCATTTGAGCAATACCAATTGGAAAGACTTCATGGTTATAGCATAGTGTGGTGCCCAGAACATAACAAAAACTTTTTAAACTAGCATGGCCATGTTAGAAACGAGAGGGCCCTTAGTTGCACTCCCACTGTTGGACGTCTGAGTTTCCTGTTTTGGCGGAGGGGGCAAATATAGCAAAAGAAAGAAAATAGCGCGTTACCTAAAAGGGGAGCCTGAACGTTCTGAGACATAATTATTTTTATCCAAGTAAATACCGGTACTGGTACTCAGGTATGGACGTGGGTGACCGGACAGCCAGGGATTAGAGGTGTCAAAACTTCTTGCTTTTTCGAGCAATTCTCATGCCAGACTCACTCTTTTATTTCCTATGAGGGCAAGAACGGTCAGGCCTCTAGAATCCCCGGCTGTCCGGTCACCCACGTCCATACCCGAGTACAAGTACTTGGTAATTCAATAAGTACCTAGAAGTCTTAGCGCTTTTTAGCCTTTACTTGCGCCAAAGATTTCCGGATACTTGTTGAATTGCCAAGTAGACTACTCAACATGTTAAACCTGCGTAAAATGTCTCAGTGGGGGGGGGGGGGGCAATTCGGCATTACAGCAATCAGCGAATTCCCCTATCTAGCTCATTTCAGTGCTAAGTCTTTCAACAATTTTAGTCTGCCTTGACTTACTGTACTTGAGCACTGTCCTGTAGAGTACTATCCCCTGGGGGTAGCCCAAGCTTCTCTTGCTCTTCACTTTAGCATAGCTGTCAGTAATCCTTGGTTGAAAATCGCCCCTAGAGACAAGACCCCACTTACCGCCGAACGGGCCCTTACTGTGTAGGCAGCGGTGAGCTGCAGTTTCGCCCACATGTACCCACATAATGCCTTTTTCAAAGGCTATGGTTGGCGAGTTTACAAACCGGCCCGCCAAATCATAATTGCAGTTACAGTAAACGTTACCCGTGTACCCGCTATGTGCATTGATTCTTGCTGTTCGGGTATGGACATGGGATACCGGACAGCCAGGGATTCTGGTGCCCTGCCTGTTCCACCCTCATAGGAAATTAAAAAAATGAGTTTGGCATGAAAATTCCTCACACAATCAGTAAGCTCTGACCTCTCTAATTACTCGCTGCCCAGTCACTGACATCCGTACTCTAGCTTTAGTGCAATAGCGACTCTGAAACAGCGTCCACTCAATCGTACCTGTTTTGTAGAAAAGATGAAGCATAGGTTAGTTTCAAGGGAATGTGTGAAACGAGACAATTGTATCACACCTCTCTTCTCAACATTGGGGTTCAAAATTTGTCGTACAGTACTACCACCTGCACTCTACATACTTTCTCCATAAGAAGAGAGGTTTTGAGTGTCTGTTTTCTCAAGCTAGTACTATCCGTAGCCCGTAAGGCATACCTTTATTTGTATCTTGAGAATTAATCCAAAAATACAGCAGTACGTTGGTGCTATATTGAGAACTGCAAACCCCCCTTCGGTTTACAACGCACCATATAGCACGGGGTATCAAGGGTCAGTCCGTTGAACCCCTCTGGTTGGCTCGGCCAGCCCGAGCTCAACAGTCTTTTTCCCAACACTGAAATTTAGCGTAGGTTGTCGGAGTAGCTAGAAATTATCATTTTCACGCACATTGATTTTGTCCAATAAGCCAAAGCTCAACAGATCCATATTCACACTCATAAGTACACCTCAGCTGGAAAAGTTACTGTGTGCCGAGAATCCTAACACCCCCCCCCTTATTGGATGACTTACTTTAGATGTTCAGAACAAGTCTTTCAGATTTCTGCCATCGAGATCTCAACGAAAAGTGGGACAATAGCCCATCCACTGGAATTGTGCCCGCATATTTTGATTGTGCATATTGAATAAGGATCCATGGGTTTCACCTGTGTAATCCCGCTTCGGCTGTTGTGCTATCATATCATGGAATCTCATCACTCCAGTTCAGATCTGAGATGCATATGATACGGGGGGTCAGGGGGGAGGGGACTCATGGTAGTACTGTAAGAACTTGAATAATTGGACCATGTTCCAGGACGTTGGACTTGCCTCTCTTGGTAATGTCTCATATGTTTTTCCTTTTTTAATGGTCTCGGAAACAGTGTTCTCTGGTGTGCGCTTGTCCCGATTTCCAGAGGAGGAAATTTCGGACCTCATAACATACGGTCCGATTATTGGAGTTTTTACCGTATGCGTTAAGACTTTGTGGCTTTCCTTGCAACTTCGCTCCCGGTTTGACTGAACCCACACAAGAGGCCAATGCTACATAGTGAGAGGCAGAGCTGTTAATTGGAGATCGGAGGTGCGAGATGCTATAAGATCGAAAATTTCACAATACCAGTGATTGTACAGTACCTCCCTTGTTCCGTCGAGATCAACACCTCACTGCCTGTCTTTGGGCCATCAAACCATCTTGCAGACCACCTTCTAAGCCGGCACTAGTTCCACAATTCAATTTTCCTGTTTGCGGTTCATGAGCTACAAATCAGCTGTCCAAACTGTACTGAAATGCGTGGTGAAACCCCTATTGGTAGCAAGAGAACTCGAGACGTAGAAAGTTAAGGGTCTGTTTGGTTGCAACGGTAGGTGAATCGACCGTTCCGTTTAGTGATGATCTTACCTGGAGAAATGGTTGTCTCGGCATCTTCATAATGGAAGGTAACGGTTGTTTGTACAGGGAAACGGAATAGTCATATCCGGACAGGATCTATACCTCTATGCATGCGGAAAATCCTTCATTAGCACTAGCATTCAATCTCTCTACTATTTTTGTTGGATGCAAGAATAGTTTTAGGGTGTGTTTGGATATAACTGTTCTGTTCCATTCCTCCATACAAATGGCCATTACCTTCTAT